GAATAATTAATAAAAGATACAAAAAGAAATGACACGTCCGCGGACTAAGGGCTAAGATAAAAGAATGATGATCGACAAAAAGACGATCGTACATGAAGTTGGTTGAGGGAGAAAAAGGGTACATATGCAACATTACTCCCTCTTTTGAAAAGTTGTCGCCCCGACAACAATATGAATATTCCCGCTGGTCAAGTCTAAAGCCTCAATAAATGGCAAAAACTGTTCTTTTTAAGCTGTGACTTTCTCCTAATCAAAGGACGGTCTTTTTTTATACAAAACATTCATTTTTTGAGGCGCAAAGAGAAGTTTTTTTAATTGACAATTTTTTTTGCTATATTGTAGAAACTATTAGAGAAAATAGTTTCTCGCCAATGTTGTCGTTAAGAATAATTCCTCCATTAAATGTTCAACTTTTTGCCACGGACTTTCGTCAACATCCAATTTTCTACCTGTATTTGGGACGGAAAATAGACATTTTTGTACATAGGTCCGGATCACAGCTGCGCCATTGATGTGCCATGAATTGCATAATATAACAATTCGTCACGTGATTCATTAATGTTTCGATGATTCATTAATGTTTCAGGAATCATGGAGACTCTATGTTTTGAAACGATTTAACTTGTAACCAATCTAGCATCAGTGTCTCCAACATATTGTGGGAATTCCAATCAAGGGCAGTGGTCATGCATTTCAAGGACATCTAGAGAATTATTGACAAGATCGTGCGAGCAAAGAAGCCGAAATTCATGGGCCATATTACAGGTAATATAATAGGATCATCTTCGAATGCTGATGACGACCATCAGTAATTACTAATTTATATGGCAAACTATCCTTTGATGTAGCTATTCTTCATGGATATGTTCATTTTTACTTCCATTTCCTCTTTCTTCATTATAATTTCAGCAGCAATAGGTTAGGAAACTTATGGGCTCAATTTTGTTTTTCAGTAGCTGTTGGAAATCCTGTCAGCTGACAGGTCCCTCACACTAACGCACGCAAGGCTCATCCATTCTCTCCCCACTCACGCACACCTGACGCGCTCACCTCAGATGACCGGGGGTTGTTAATTCGGACACCTGAGGCGCCACGTCCTGGACAGCTCCTTATTACCATATGATCTATATTAAATTAGGTCATGTGACCATCGAATTAGGGCACGTGGCACCTGTAAGCCCGTGTCTCTCTCTCATTCGTTTCCGGGAATCAGTTAATGGCACTTCTCTTTGTACCGCTCAATTTCTCGCAAATCGGATAATCTTTATTGTGTCAGCTCAATCTCTTCTCAACTTTTCGGTCCGCTCATTGCTTACGGTTGCTCAGTGACTCAATCTCTAGTGACTTATTTATTGTGAATATAACTTTGACAAATACAGTGAATTTGTGACCACGTGCACGTGTTCCGCTCATTTCTTGGTTCTACTCATCCCACTCCCCGTAATCCGACTCCAACTCATCCATCCGCACAATTAATTCCCCGATCCAGGCATCTCATCAAACATTTTGGTCCTTCGAGCCGGATCGGTGGAATATTTTTCGGTTTTCGGTTTTTTTGTTGGGTTTTGGCGGAAGTGGAAGTGACGCGGTCAGTGGTGCTCAACCTACGGGGACCAGCTCGTTGGCTCAGCGTACGCAGTGGACCTCAACCAGTCCAGCTCTCCAATCATCAGGGAACTGCATTACCGGCCCGCGGGAATATTTGAATTTTGGAGCAGCTCATCCCCGGGACTTTGGACTTTTTTCTCAACTGCAGCGTTCCTGCACTGATCCAGCTCAACATCACTCAGTCGGCTAAGTAGCATTTAATTACTTCTCGCTACTTTTGCCATTTTTTTCTTTTTTTTGGAATTTTTTGGAGCATTCAACTTTGTTTTTTTTTTGGCTACCGCTCCCTTTATATTTTCCAACCCTTTTTCGTTCTTTTTGAATTTTTTTAAATAAATTCTCGCGCCTGCTCAACGGAATCGCTCACTGCTGCTACCTACTAAATTAAGATTCTTCGGTGTTTTTACTGTTGCCGCACAACCGACCGGATACTTAATTTCATCGCTTCTCACTGCTCACTGCTCGGCTTTTGGGGTCGCTTTACTCAGGTTTTTTCCGGTTTATTCCTTTTTTGAGCTGCGCACTTATTTTCAATTATGGCATCATTTGAGGCGACCATTAGCCTGAATNAGTTCATTCCTTTTTTTGAGCTGCGCACTTATTTTCAATTATGGCATCATTTGAGGCGACCATTAGCCTGAATAACTCTCGGGCAGCGTTCATCGAACGCGTTTACAAGGAGCTGCTCACAGAAGAGGCGAAAAGCCTCACAATCTCCAATCTCCAGGGTAAACTCGAGATCCTGGAGACCTACTGGGAAAAGTTCGAGAGCACTCATGAGAAGCTCATCGCTGGCAGCGGCAAGATCGAAGGGATCCTTGAATTGCCGTACTTCAAGGACCATCGGTTCGACATTACTATCGGGCATTATCATGAGGCAAGGGGTATTTTAAGCCAGCTCATTGATAAAAGGGGGATCTCAGGTTCATCTCGTCGGTCTCTCGCGTCTGGGCCGGCACTAACTAGATCCCGGAAACGACGTCCAGCTCAGCAGAGGCAACAGACCAACTCAACCCAGCAAAAGGCCGTTCCGGTGGTGACCTACACCCACGAGAACGACATCCCCATGGTGGTGACTGGTGACCAAGGCCAGTCAACGTCGTCGGAATGAAGATCACCAGCTCAGATTGCCGTCTCCTGCTCAGGTCACCACTCAGATTCCGGATCCGCTCCAGACTTCCGCCCTGGGGTCCTTCTGGCTACCAGCCTTGCGCTTTTGGTACGCCCAGATCAGCCAGCTCATCAGGTTCGTCTACTCATCGATCCAGGGTCGGAAATCTCCGTCATCTCAGACCAGCTCGTTCGTCAGCTTGGGCTGTTAAGGCTGAAGACACAGCTACGAATATCGGGGATTGGAGACACGGCATCTGGGCCGGCATTAGGCAAGGTTCGGCTCACAATACAGTCCACTTGCTCTCACTTTCAGCTCAGAGTTTCTGCCTATGCTCTCGGCCAGCTCACAACCTCATTACCGACATTCTCACCAAGTCAGCTCACATGGGATCATCTGGAAGGACTCCAGCTCGCTGATCCCGATTTTCTCACACCAGCACCAATTGACATCCTTCTTGGCGCTGATGTCTATGGACAACTCATCTTACCACAAGTCATCACCAACGGACCAAACTCACCATCGGCTCAGCTCACGCGACTTGGATGGATCGTATTCGGACCAACGGAAGGTCCTGATACTACTCAAGTAGCAACTTCTCATCTAACGGTCACCAACGAGGATCTCAACGAACTGCTCACCAAATTCTGGATCCAGGAAGAGATCCCTGGGACACCAGAGGTTCAGCTCAACGAGTAGGAAGCGCAGTGTGAAGAACACTTTCAACGGACCCACTCACGAGAAGCATCTAGCCGCTACATTATTCGGATACCGCTCAAATCTCCAGTTTCCTCGCTAGGATATTCACGATCGTCTGCACTCGCTTGCCTCCATCGTCTGCTCAGGAAACTCTCACGTGATGAGGTTTATCGTCAGCTCTACACGGACTTCCTCAGGGAATATGAAGAGCTCGGCCACATGCGTCGAGTCTCCGGACAGCTCGCTAGATCAGCTCATCAGCGCCAGCTCAATGGGGGGGGGGGGCACGGGCACCGAAATGACCTTAGCACATGAGGCCTCGGCTTCAGGAGGGTTGAGGGTTTCGGGCCGTCCGTGTTCTTCTCGGGCTGACGCTCCTCCGGAATATTTCTTCCCTCATCACGGAGTTCTCAGGGCGAGCAGTGAGACAACGAAGCTCAGAGTTGTTTTCAACGGCTCCAACAAGACCAGCTCAGGACAATCGTTGAACGAGATTATGCACACGGGTGAGAAGTTGCAGAAGGATATCTCGGATGTACTTCTCTTTTCTCGGCGGAAACGGCTCATTTTCATGACGGACATAACCAAGATGTTTCGTCAAATTCGGGTACATCCGGAAGATTGGCCACTCCAACAAATACTCTGGACCGACTCAAACGGAGATATCGCCACCTATCAACTCACCACGGTTACATATGGCACTAGGTCAGCTAACTCAGCTATCTAGCGGTTGGATTGTGACTAACATAGAAATCTAACAGCAAGCTAAATGCAAATCACAATCTCTACCTAGGTACCCCCTGACGAGTATGTACGTGAAGTTTGGGATCATTCAGATTTCGCTTATGCGACAGATTTCGTGCCAAACTGCACGTACATATGTGCTGCAGTAAAATATGTTGGTGAGCAGAATAACTTGAAGAATCCAAGAGGGGCAAGATAATTCGAGAAAATTACTCTGTACCCTTCAAGCACGAGAATTATTCGGCGAATTATTCCCCCCATTTAAATCTCGATCAATACGTGCTGGGATTCGACTGTTTTTTCTCACTTCCTTTCAGAAATATTATTACTCTAAGGATGCTCCTTCTATCACCTCAGGTTAAAATTCAATGTAAAACTTTCCTCACGTTGCTAAATAACAGCTGACGTATTATCAAAAATATCACTATCATACATACGTTATATCAAATACCCTGCCCTTAATGATCGAGATCTGAATGAAGGGAAAAATCAGTACCATACCATTTCGGTTGAACAAAATAACGTCAAAGGATGCAATTCTATTTGCTGCAATTTAGACGGAAGAAGTTGTCAATAGAAATGAGCGGAAAAAGCGCATATGGGGAAAGGCCCACTTTGGCGCATCCAGTTTTTAAGTCATGTAATCTAACAACGCTCAATTAAGCATATATGGAATAATTTCTTCAATTTTCAATCATAATGTCAGGTTTTAAGCAATTGGAGTCCATTTTGGTTTAAAAAAAAATGAGATGATGTGGAGATGATTGAAGTACACATAACTCCAAAGCCCAAAGTGGGTCTTTCTTACACAAACGTGCACATCTATTGAATAATTTACCGGTGACAAATGTAACAGCTGCGGTCTTTGTGTGCAGGACAGCCTGTACCCCCGCAAATTCCGTAAACGTACTGATTACTCTTGCTACTGTGCTCAGCGAAGTAAATTCCTGCTCCAAACATTCCACCGATGTACGCATGCCTTTCGTCGAAACCTTTTTGGACGATTGCATTGATGAAGGAGGAACCATGGAAGAGCATTCGCTCGTTTGCTTGGGGTGTTGTTAAAGTAGAGCTCGGCCTTGGTACTGTATTGGGAGACGAAAGGCCTGCAGCTACCATCTCCTCGGCTACTTCTTGTCGACGGTGGGCGTAACGCTCCCACAGTTTCCTATTCTGCACTTTTTGTATCTGAAAAAAATATAATTACAATAAAGAAGAATGAATCGATAAATAAAAGAATCTCGTAAAAAAATGAAAAGAAATGTTTATGTTGAAAAAACGGAGCCAACAAAATTTTTGTTTAGTTCTTATTGGAAATTAATATTTGGTAATAAGTAAGGCCGAAGACTTCATTTACGAAAACGGCTATTATCAGAAGTTGGCTCCAAATAGGTGATTGAAGTGAGCGACAAGTAGGGTTGGGAAGAAATTGAAACATTGATGTTGGAATTTGCCATAATTCATTGATTGGAGGGTTATTTTGTTGACAGAGTGAGGAAAAGCGTTTGAACGTGAATTGGGTGTTTTGAAGAGGGTCAATGGGAGATCACGGCAATTTCTTAAGGGTAACTTACCAGGGGAGCTATCGGGTTCTTTCAAAAGGGGATTAATGGAAGCCATGGTCGAGGGGAGATATTGGGGGTCAATTCCCAGGAGAGCGATCAGGGTCTTTTAAGGGAGGGGGGGGGGTCAATGGAGGGTATGGACGAGGGGAGATCTCGGGAGGTTTTTGGGGAGTATCTTTATAGTGGAGCTCTCGTGGTATTTTTAAGGGGCAACGAGAGGGGGGGTATGGTCAAGGGGAGATCGTGGAGGTTCTTTGGGAATAACTCGGCAGGGCAGTTCTCCGGGTCTTTAGAGGGGGTGGGGTGGGGGTCATTGGAGGGTATGGTCAAGGAGAGGTCTTGGGGGTTTCTTGGGGATAACTTCTCAGGGCATCTCTCAGAATCTTTCTAGGGGGAGTGGGGGTCAGTGGTAGATTTGGTAAGGGGAGATATCGAGGTTTTTTGGGGGTCACTCTCCAGGGCAGCTCTCTGGGTGATTTCAGGGAGTGGCGAGTCAATGGAGGGGATGATCATGGGGAGATCTCGGGGGGGTGGTTGAAGGGTATCTTTCCGCATGAGCTCTCAGAGTCTTTCCAGGAGGGGGGGTCGATGGAAATAAGGACAAGGGGAGATCTCAGGGTTTTACTGAGGGTTACTCTCCAGGACAGCTCTAGGGCAGCTCCCAGGATCTTTCTAGGAAGGGGGGTCAATGGGGGATATGATCAAGAGGAACTTTCGGGGCCTTTCGAGGGGGTATTGATGAAAGGTATATTCGAGGGGAGATCTCGGAAGTTTTTTGGGGTTGACTTTCCAGGGGAGCTCTGAGGGTCTTTCTGGAGTGGATTAATGAAGGGGATCGTCAAGGGCAGATACGAGTGATTTTGAAGATCACTTTTGGGGATTGCTCTCTGGATCTTTCTAGGATTTGCCAAGGAGTGTATGATGAAGGGGACATCCCGAGGGGTTCTTTGAGGTTACTTCCAGGGGTCAATAGGGGTGTGGTCAAGAGGAGATCTCGAAAGTATGGTTAGAACGAAATTCCGGAGAAATCTGGGGAACATTTCTCAAAGTAGGTTTGAAGGGATAACTAGGGGAGTTTTTCTAGGGGGATCGCCGAGATTTTTACGGAACATTTTTCAGAGTTTCTAAGGTACTTTCAGAGGAAATGGCTAAGAGGAGATTCCTGGGGTTCTTAGACGATATTTGACATTTGAAATATACAATCGAAAGATTGATTAGAAAAGTAATTCGGGATTGTGACCCAAGTTCTTCATCAACCCATGGACTGCAAATATTTTTTTCTTTGTAAATATCTCAAAAAAATCCCGAGATCTCCCCTTGACCATGCCCCTCATTAACATGCCCGCCCCTCGGAAAACCCTGAGAGCTTCTCTGTAAAGATACTTCCAAAAAATCGCCGAGATCTCCCCTTGACCATACCTCCCATTAATCCCCCCGTTAATACCTCCCATTAATTCCCCCCTCCCCCTAGAAAAACCGTGAGAACTCTCTTGGAAAGATACCCCCAGAAAACCCCCGAGATCCCACTTGACCATAGCCTAAATTGTCCCCCCCCTTGAAACACCCTCAGAGCAGCCCTGGAATGTTACCCTTGACTAGGCCCCCCATTGACCGGGGGACCCTCTTAACCCATTGAACAATGTAAGTCACCGAAGATATCGGTGTGAGGAGAGTAGGGAGCCCCTCAACGTATCAGTGCGCCATAAGAAATGCTCAGCTGGGCACGCATACTACCACCAAATTCCGAAGAGTGCGATACTGTGAGGTTGTTCAATGGGTTAAAAAAACCTGAGAGCTGCCCTGGAAAGTTATCCCCAAAAAACCTCAAAGATCTCCTCTTGACCTTATCCCCATCGACCCCCCCCCCCATGGAAAGACCCTG